TCTTGCCGGGAACTATTTCCTGCAAGACAGCGGCGGCAACTTTCTTTTTCTTTTTTCGGCTTCCTTTCGTCAAGCTCTTTTGTTCCGACATCCTTCTTCAAACTTGTTCAACACTTTGTTTACTTTCAGATTTGAAGCAACTGTTGGTGAAGGAAAAAGTTATCTGTTAAACAGTGCAAGCCAACGGGTCTCCAGGGAGATACACACTCGGGGTGAAGATATTTCCTCGTTCACTCTTATCACCAGAAGATAATGTACGCGACGATAAAATAGCTGAGTGATCTAAAGTTGAGTTTTCCTCTGATTTACGGGCGATTTTAAAACTCTCAAGCGGACAATCCTCATCCTCAATCCTGCTGCTGCTGATCAACTCAAAATCAATTAAGATGAATAAATGAAGATACCGATTACCACCACCAATCAACATCCATTGAAGAGCACATACTTGAGATCATTTGATAGCACTAAAACAATTGTCCTCTAAAACAACTTTTTTGGTATTATATAATCCTCTGTCATCTGGTTCAGTAGTTTAGTGTGGTCGTCGTCCTCCTCATCGTTGTCGGCTGCTTCTAAATAACCAATCACTAACAATGTCCAAAGCGGCCGCTTTTTTGGCCGCCTTTGCGGCCGCTCTTTTCGTGNCTCATCGTTGTCGGCTGCTTCTAAATAACCAATCACTAACAATGTCCAAAGCGGCCGCTTTTTTGGCCGCCTTTGCGGCCGCTCTTTTCGTGATCACCGCTGGAGCACCATCAAATCGAAGTTTCGTCATCGACTTTGCCCAGAATGAGTTCCTCAAGGACGGCGCCGTCTTCCGCTACATCTCCGGGTCGATGCACTACTTCAAGATTCCGACTGAGCTGTGGCGGGACCGCCTGCAGAAGGCCAAATTTCAAGGGCTAAACGCCATTCAGACGTGAGTTAGATTTACCCCCAAAAACCTTCTCAATTTCTACTTCTCTTTTTCAGCTACGTCCAGTGGAACACCATCGAGCGCAAGCCCGGACACTTTGACTTCAGCGGCGCCAACAACCTCACCCGCTACATTCAAATGGCGCAGGAGGAGGACCTCCTGGTGATCCTCCGCATCGGCCCCTTCATCGACGCCGAGGTGGACATGGGCGGCCTCCCATCCTGGCTCCTCAAAGAGCACGCCCACCCGAGCCTTCGCTCCATGGACCCACACTGGATCGCCGCCGTGGAGCGCTACATGGCCGCTCTTTTACCTCGTATCAAACCTCTGCTCTACTCCTCCGGTGGCCCCATCATCTCCATTCAGGTGGAAAACGAGTACGGCAGCTACCGCCCTGAATGCACCCACCCGCAGTACAAGACCCATCTTCGAGACCTGCTGTGGAAACATTTAGGAAAGGAGACAGTCGTCTACTTCACCACCGACGGCAACGGCGACGCCTACCTGCAGTGTGGCCCCGTTCCAGGCGTCCTCATCACCACCGACTACGGGGCGGGGACGGACGTGGCGAAGGCGATTGCCACGCTGCGAAAGTTCCAGCCGAATGGGCCGGTGGTCAACTCGGAGTTCTACAGCGGCTGGCTGGACCACT